CTCTTCTTCGACTTTGGCTGTAGCAACTTCTTGCTAGACAGATCTCCAAAGGCAAGGGAAATAAAAGCAAAAATGAACTATTGGAACTTCATCAAGATAAAAAGCTTTTGCACAGCAAAACCAAAAGACAACTGACAGAATGAGAGAAGATATTTGCAAACGACGTATCAGATAAAGGACTAGTATCCAAAATCTATAAAGAATTTATCAAACTCAACACCCAAAAAACAAAGAATCCAGTCAAGGAATGGGCAGGAGATATGAACAGACATTTCTTCAAAGAAGACATCCAAATGGCCAACGGACATTGGATGAAAAAATGCTCAACATCGCTCGGCATCAGGGAAATACAAATCAAAACCTCAATGAGATGCCACTTCACACCAGTCAGAATGGCTAAAATTAACAAGTCAGGAAACAACAAATGTTGGTGAGGTTGTGGAGAAAGGGGAACCCTCCTACACTGTTGGTGGGAATGCAAGCTGGTGCAGCCACTCTGGAAAACAATATGGAGATTCCTCAAACAGTTGAAAATAGAGCTACCCTACGATCCAGCAATTACACTACTAGGTATTTACCCAAAGGATACAAACATAGTGATCTGAAAGGGCACGTGCACCCCAATGTTTATAGCAGCAATGTCCACAATAGCCAAACTGTGAAAAGAGCCCAGATGTCCATCGACAGATGAATAGATAAGGAAGATGTGGTGTATATATACAATGGAATATTACTTAGCCATCAAAAAATGACATCTTACCATTTGCAATGATGTGGCTAGAACTAGAGGGCATTATGCTAAGTGAAATAAGTCAGTCAGAGAAAGACAAATATCATACGATTTCACTCATATGTGGAATTTAAGAAACAAAACAGAGGATCATAGGGGAAAAGAGAGAAAAATAAAATAAGACGAAATCAGAGAAGGAGACAAACCGTAAGAGACTCTTAATTATAGGAAATAAACTGCGGGTTGCTGGAGGGGAGTTGGTGGGGGGATGGGGTAACTGATGGGGTGATGGGCGTTAAGGAGGGCATGTGATGTAAGGAGCACTGGGTGTTATATGCAACTGATGAATCACTGAACTCTACCCTGAAGCTAATAATACATTATATGTTAATTAATTAAATTTAAAGATTTAATAAAAGAGGTTCTCCATTACATATATGTTTACGGATTTTATTTACTTATTAGAATGAGGAGGCATAGAGGGAGAGGGAGAGAAGCAGACTCCCTGCTTGAGTGCAGAGTCAGCCATCGGGCTCGATGTGGGGCTGGATGCAGGGCTGGATGTGGGGCTGGATGCAGGGCTCAACCTCACGACCCTGAGATCATGACCTGAGACTAAATCAAGAGTTGGACACATAACTGACTGAGCCACCCAGGTCCCACCTATCGTATATATTTTTTAAGTTTATTTATAATTTCTGCACCCAACGTGGGGCTCCAACTCATGACCCTGAGATCAAGAGTTGCATGCTCTTCTGACTAAGCCAGCCAGGAGCCCCAAGGTTCTCTATTATAGATTTAAAATGATTTAAGACATATCAACCAAATGTAATGTGTGGAAATTTTTGAAATTTTTTTGAAACTTTCAAATCCTAATTCAAGCAAACCAACAGTAAAAAGACATTTTTGAGACAGAAAACCAAACACAGACTAGCTATTAGATGGTATCAAGCCAACAGCATGTTAGCACACATACTAAAGTGTTTGTAGGTGGAATGATAGGATGCCTAGGATTCAGATTACAATACTCCAGAGAAAAAAAGGAAGCGAGGAGAGAGGAAAAGTGAGGCAAGGAAGAGTTTGAAAAAATTGGCAAAATATTGAAGTTTTGAGCGCCTGGGTGGCTCAGTCGGTTAAGTGTCTGCCTTCGGCTCAGGTCATGATCCCAGGGTCCTGGGATCGGGCCCCGCATCGGGCTCCCTGCTCCGCGGGAAGCCCGCTTCTCCCTCCCCCGCTCCCCCTGCTTGGGTTCCCTCTCTCACTGTGTCTCTCTCTGTCCAAAAAATAAATAAAATCTTAAAAAAATATTGACGTTTTGAAGCTGGGTGATGGGTAAAGGTGGATTCATTTTTTAATTCTCTCTACTTAATGTATGTTTGGAAACGTCCATAATAAAATTCTTTTTAAGTTTGCAAGAAAAGTTAACGAATTTGTCTAACAGTGTGACTGCTCCTCTAGGTGAGAAACCTGTAAGGGGAATTCCTGAATGTAAGGAATGAGAATTTTTACCTTGACTGGAAATTGCCAAATTTCTCTCTGGGTGTTTGTAATAAGGGGGTTCAGGATAAATTACCCCCAAATATGGCACCTCGGCATACTAAATATTTTAAGCTAAAGGAATTTGACACAAAGCAGGTGCAGGAAGGACTCTGACTTTCCCCGAGGCAGGCCATAGGCTCTCATGTGAGAGGTGCCCTCCCTACACCCAGAGGAAAGGAGCACCGCTTTCTCTAACACACCAGGAGGAATCTGAACCAACAGGCCTTGCTGTTTCCCCCAGTTTACTACACTGAGTTCATATTCCTTTGTCCCATCCATGTTCCCATAAGTCTCTATCAAAAATAGCATAAAAACACTCAGGCTTACCCGCTTCTTCAGGTCTTCATTTCCTTTTGAAGGCTCCCATGTTACATAAAACTTGTGATAAAGAAACTTATATGCTTTTCTCTTGTTAATCTCTTTTGTTACAGGGCCCCCAGCCCAGAACTTAGAAGGGTAGAGCAAAAAAACATATTTCTTCCCCTACAGTAACAATTTGCCAGTTTCCCACAATTCCCAAACACTTGTTGTTTGATGTTTTAATTGTTTTTTTAAGATTTTATTTATTTATTTGACAGAGGGAGAGACCGCGTGAGAGGGAACACAAGCAGGGGGAGTGGGGGAGGGAGAAGCAGGCTTCCCGCGGAGCAGGGCGCTCGACTGATGTTTTAATTTCTGTTAATCTGATGGATACAAATAGTATCTTATTATTTTATTTATTTTTAAAAAAAAAACATCATTTGGGAGGGAGTATGTAGGATGTGGGAAGGGGCAGAGGAAGACGGAAAGAGAATCTCAAGCCGACTCCCCACCTAGCCCGAGGCCTCACCTGGGCTCCATCTCTCAATCCTGAGACCATGACCCGAGCAGAAATCAATAGTCAGATGCTTAACCAACTGAGCCACCCAGGCGCCCCGATATCTTATCATTTTAAATTGTATTTCCCTGATGGTTGTATAGTTGAGCATTTTTCACGCCTTTATGTGCTACTTAAATTTCTTTCGAAAATTGCTTTTCATATTCTTTGCCCATTTTTGTCTTTTTCTTACTGATTTATATATAGTTCTTTCATATTCTGACACTAAGTTTTTATTATGTATGTTACAAATATTTCTTTCCAATTTATTCCTTATATTTTAAATTTGTTTGCAGACAATCTTGCATCCGGAAGTTTTTCAAATTGTTCAGTCAAATATGTCTTCATTTTATTTACAGATTCTGCTCTTTGTTCCTTAGGAATGACATTCAAATCCCAAGCTCTTATTACTGATTTAAAAAAATATGTATTTATTTTTTTATTTTAAGTAAACTCTAGGCCACTCATGGGGCTGGAACTCACCACGCAGAGATCAAGAGCCTCATGCTCTAGGGACTGAGCCAGCCAGGCACCCTCTTATTACTGATTTTACTAAGAATGCTTTGTAATTTGTCATCAAATATTTCATTTTCACAGATAGGCTTTATTTCAAATTACATGGTTTTTCTTCCTTTAGTCTGTTAGTTTGACCTATTTCTTTACCTTGAAACATCCTTGTATTCCAGGGGTAAATCCTACTGTCGGTATTTTTTTTTACTACACTGCTTCATTCAATTTGCTCAAATTGCTAGTATTTTATTTGAACCTTGCATCTTTATCCATAGGTGAAATGGGTTTCTGCTTTCCTTTGAGTTGTCATTGATCAGTTTAGTTAGGTAAGTCTTTAGTGAGGTACCAAATCTAAAATATGCAGGCAAATTGTTTTTCCTATTCTCCTTCCTTCCAGTTTAGGACTTTCTGAAGCTAGGACTCCCCACTCTCAACACACACACACACATACCCCAAGGCGCTCTTTTCCAATCCCAGTATGGGGATAATTCCTACTGGGTCTACCGGTACTAAGGGTGATTGAGAGAGCATATTGCTGATGGTTTTAACTCAAAGAAATAATACAATACTTAGTAATTGAGGATGCAAGTCAATAGCTGTGGAGTTCCCTTTCTGTGAGCCTCAATTTCCTTACATGTAAAACGAAACTATTAAAACATCTAAGCCACAAGTTTAGAGAAGTGCATAAGACGCGTGGAAAGCAACAATGCCCGGGACAAAACAGGCACTAATGACCTTGGCCATCACCATCAGCGCTGTCACTGCTCGCACGGCAGCGGCAGGCGCCGGCGGGCGGCGAGGGCGCGGAGCCCGGGGTCAACAGGCCGACCGCCAAGGCCTACTGCCGGGTCCCGGTCTCTGCTCTGCCCCGCGTTAGAAGGCACGCGCCTCCCTCTCGGCTGAAAACGAGAGGACTCACACCCGCCCCACTGCGCGGGTGGCGGCCTAACCGGGTTACCCGACGCGAGCGCCTGGAACCTATCTAGCTTCGCTCACGAGCCCGCGACGGGAGGCTGCTTTTGTGACGGTTATTCACTTTCTCTCGGCCCATGGCCGAGACGTGGGGCCGCCCACCAAGTTCCCGAACTCAGCGGGGCTTGCACCTTCCGGCCCGCCAATCTGGGCCAAACCCTGCACGCGCCCGAAAATCGAGGCAAATCGACTAAAATGTCCGTCCCGCACGCAGGCGTAGTACTGGCGGCCCGGGCTCGAGGCCCCGCCCCCAGGCTCGCGTTTGTCCGCCCCCTCCTCGGGTTCGTGGCTCAGGATTGGCCCAGAGGCGGCGCGGGCTCTGATTGGTCGAGGCGGAGTCACGAGGGCTCCGTCTCCTTCCCGGGAGTGGGTGCCGCCCGCGCCTCTCTCCCGAGTCGCCGCTGGGAGGGTGCTCCAGACGTGTCGGCGCCTGCGGGCTGCGGCGGGCGCCTTTGAGGCTTCGCGCCCGGCTCTGCAGTACGCGGTGGCTCTGGGTGGGCGGGGCCGTACACCCGCGATCGCCCCTCCAGGAGGGACGAGACTGTGCGGGTTACCTAGAGAAGTGGCGGTTCTAGGTTCTGGTGTGAGACTCCTTATTTGTGCTGCAGGGGGGTGGAGATGGACGCTGCTCCACTTAACACTGAGTTCTCGGTCTGGAAAGGTAAAGACACTTGAATTGTAGGTACTGATTTTTTTTTTTACCCGTAAGGGGGCTTTATTTTGGCCCTGTGTGCTTTCATTTGAGCAGCTGGTAGTGGAATCAATTTTTAAAAACATCGAAATTATTTGAAAACGCATGTTGAAGGGAACAGAATGAGAGGGAAAGGGAGGAGTTCTTGGAAACTTGCCTAATACCTCGAGGAGTTAACCATTTCTAGATCGTGGCAAAAGACAAGGTATGGGACATCTGACCTACAAACAGATGCCAAAAGTGATCTTTTTCTATATATTTTGATATTCACTACTGTGAGTAAAAGATTCAAAATGAAAGTAACTTTAAGATGAGGCCTGACATGTGTTTATTACAAATAGAAACTTATTACAGATACCGGAGAGAAAATGTGCATAGCCCATGGAATTTTGAAGGCCCTGTGATGAGCCTAATAATCGTGTCCATTTTAAGCGGGGTGGGGGTGGGGTGGGGGGGAAATCCAGGTGAACAGAAGAAAATGAGTCGTTTTCCGAAGGAGAAGATGGGGAAGATGAGACGTTGGAGGAGAAGGGCAGTGAAGTAGAGATGAGATAATTGTATATACAGTGCCGAGCAGAATGACTTACTAAAGTCAACAACCAAAATCCAGAGGAAAACAGTTGAACTGCCTTGTTTAATCTCGAAAGTGGTATTGTGAACACTTTCAGAGACTACTTTCACAAGCCCACCCTAGATTCAATACCAAAATCTGACCCAGTTATTTTTAGGGAAAAAAAAAAAAAACACAGTTGCAGACCACTCCCGTGAACATAGATGCAAAAATTCCAAACAGAATGTTAGCGAATTAAATACCAGTGTCAACTGAAAAGAATAGTACATTGTGAGAAGTGAGGTTTGTTTTGGGGGAAAGCAGAAGTGTTTTTTGTTTGAAAAGTGATATTGGTTGCCCGGAAATACTGGTTTGAAAGAAAATCTCTTGGTTCTGAAAATTGCTTCATTAAATTCCATTAGTTTGTGTGCCTGCCAAACACCTGTGTTTCCATATTTATTCTTTTGACAAATATTTAAGTCCCTACTGTGCTTCCTGCTTCTGGCTGGGAGCCTCTGTGTGAGTATTTGAATATGGATAGGTTTAAGTTGAGTCCTAAAAGAATTGAGGTGGATGGTGGGTACACAAGCCCATGAATAGTGAATGCTTCCTGTGTGTAGCCACTGTGCTAGGCTTTAACGCATCATCTCGTTTCATTCGCAAAGCGATCGTATTAGACAGGCATCATCAGCTCCATTTTATACACGGGAAAACAGATTTAGCCATTAACTTACTTGCTCAGGGTTTTATAATTAATAAGCGACAGAGCAGGGATTATACATGGTTCTCCCGAATCCAAAGGCCCTACCTCTTCCCGGTTCATTTTTTTTGTCCCGCCCCCCCGCCAAGCAACTTGTTTTGAGAGGCACCCAGGATGTATTTATTGTCCACTTTATGCAGCCACTTGTATAATAGAAACTTTATTCAACCGTATTCAGTCTAGTAGTTGTTTTAATCAATCAAAAGTAAATTATCCATACATAACTTTTGATTTTAATTTAAAGACATGTTAAATGTGGGGGCACCTGGGTGGCTCAGTCGGTTAAGCGTCTGCCTTCAGCTCAGGTCATGATCTCGGGGTCCTGGGATCATCGAGTCCTGCATTGGGCTCCCTACTCAGTGGGGGTCTGTTCCTCTCTCTCTCAAATAAGTAAATAAAAATCTTAAAAAAAAAAAGCCATGTTAAATGTTTATTCATTTACGAATATTTTGATGTGGGACTAAGGCCTTGTTTTTTTTTTTTAAAGATTTTATTTATTCATGAGAGACAGAGAGAGAGGCAGAGGGAGAAGCAGGCTCCCAAGGAGCAGGGAGCCCGATGCGGAACTCTATCCCAGGACTCTGGGATCATGACCTGGGCTGAAGGCAGATGCTTAACCATCTGAGCCACCCAGGCACCCTAAGGCCTTGTTTTTGACTTCGGGTTCAGTGTTGGAGTAGTTTGTCTTCCCAGTACAAAGTATGCCAGTAAGTGCAGCTTCTGTAATTTGAAGTTTGTTTGTTTGTTTCTTCTTTTTTTTTTTAAGTATTTTAAGTAGTCTCTGCATCCAACGTGGGGCTGAACTCACAACCCTAAGCTCAAGAGTCATATGCTTTTCCGACTGAGCCAGGCAGGCACCCCAAAGTTTGTTTCTTTAAAGCAAAGCAAAACCTAAAAAACTCCTAGTAAAGCAGTTTGAATACTCTTACGTTTTTACCACTTTTTCCATCCTTTTATGGTTGCTCAACCACACCTAATTTGACTACAGTTTTTTTAAGCTTTATCAAATATGTCCGAAGTATTCAACTTGGTTTTCACAGATTCAGTAACTTACTTTTTGCATTGATTTGATTGACTTATATGATTTTATTATGTAATTGAAACCGCAAATACAAGGGTCATATACAGGTTTGGAACAAACACAATTGATAATTACTAAGGATCTACTTTAGCCTATGGCAACAGAAATGGCCAGGTGTTCTGTGAGTGCCATAGAGGAACCTGCTAGCCACACATGCTTGGCATTTCATGGACATCAAGTTAGTAAGTCCTGTTTGGAATGGGGACTGTCATTTAATCTAGCCGTAGATACAGGTTAGTGTGATTTGATTAAGTAGACAAAGTTAGAAACAGTTAAGAGGGCATCTACTGTATTATGATGTTCACTATACGTTGCATTAGCTTTTGCAGCAATCAGCCAGGAAATTCTTGGTGAATGCAACTTTTGCTTTGGAACCCAGACTCTGGTTCTTGGAGGAAAACAGGAGTAGTCACATATTTTCCGTAGGCTGTTATGCATGTGATGTGGTTCTAGACTGTTCACACTGGTCACCCTTGGTCATTCCTCTCTAAAGTGTGATTTCTTTTTTTTTTTTTTTAAGATTTTATTTATTTATTTGACAGAGAGAGACACAGTGAGAGAGGGAACACAAGCAGGGGGAGTGGGAGAGGGAGAAGCAGGCTTCCCGCTGAGCAGGGAGCCTGATGTGGGACTTGATCCCAGGACCCTGGGATCATGACCTGAGCTGAAGGCAGACGCTTACCTTAAGACTGAGCCACCCAGCCTCCCCTAAAGTGTGATTTCTATAATGGTTACCTCTGATTGGTGCAGCATATAGAAGTACGCTCACAGGTAGATGAACTTTTAGGATAACCAGACCCTAAAGTTGGCTCATTGAAATTATTTCATTAAAACCCTCATCTCTTAGGGTTCCTGGCTGGCTCAGTTGGAAAAGCATGCTACTCTTAATCTAGGGGTAGTGAAGAGATGACTAAAAGAAACAAATAAAACCCTCATCTCTTTCCCATAACTTCCCTGATCCCACATCATTCCCATGCCAGATGAACTGGTCCCTCATCTGCTTGCCTATGAATGTTTATAACCAGTAATACTTATCACATGGTAGTTACTTATCCCTTCCTGTAATGTGCTATATATACCAGTTGTATTTGTTTGCTAGGTTCACCTTTTTTTTTTAAAGATTTTATTTATTTGAGAGAGAGAGAAAGAGCATGAGCGGGGGTGGGGGGGCAGAAGAAGAGGGAGAAGCAGGTTTCCCACTGAGCAGAGAGCCTAATGTGGGGCTCAATCCCAGGACCTGAGATCATGACCTGAGCCGAAGGCAGATGCCTAACCCACTGAGCCACCCAGGTGTCCCTTAAGGTTGCCTTAATAAAATATCCCATACTGGGTGGCTGAAACAACAGAAATTTATTTTCTCGGGCGCCTGGGTGGCTCAGTTGGTTAAGCGACTGCCTTCGGCTCGGGTCATGATCCTGGAGTCCGGGGATCGAGTCCCGCATCGGGCTCCCTGCTCGGCGGGGAGTCTGCTTCTCCCTCGGACCCTCCCCCCTCTCGTGCTCTCTCTCTCTCTCATTCTCTCTCTCAAGTAAATAAATAAAATCCTAAAAAAGATAAATAAAAAAAATTTATTTTCTCATAATTCTGAAGGCTAGAAGTTGAAGATCAAGTTGTTGACAGGCTTGGTTTCTTCCGAGGCCTCTCTCCTTGGCTTGTAAATGTCTGCCTTCTCACTATGTCTTCACATGGTCATTTGTCTATTTTCTGTGGCCTAATCTCTCATAAGGACAGCAGTCATATTGGATTAGGGCCTACTCTAATGACCCCATTTTAACTTAATTACTTCTTTAAAGGCCTGTCTCCAAATACAGTAGCATTCTTAGATACTATGGATGAGGGCTTTGACATACGGATTTTAGTGGGCTATAGTTCATCTCATCATAATACCAGTAATACCGGGGCGCCTGGGTGGCTCAGTCGTTGGGCGTCTGCCTTCGGCTCGGGTCGTGATCCCGGGGTCCTCGGATCAAGCCCTGCGTCGGGCTCCTTGCTTCGCGGGGGGCCTGCTTCTCCCTCTCCCACTCCCCCTGCTTGTGTTCCCTCTCTCGCTGTGTCTCTCTGTCGATTAAATAAATAAGATCTTAAAAAAAAATACCAGTAATACCTCTCTTCTGTTATGACACTGTTCCTAGTTAACACTGGCAAGATGAAGACACTTGTTTTATTTATTGCCCATAGTTCTTCTTTTTGTCCTTTTGTGTATTCATTCAATGTTTTGCTAAAGTATTTGAGAGAGAGAGAGAGAGAGAGCGCATGCACTTGCCCACGAGTGGGGGAGGGGCAGAGGGAGAGAGAATCTCAAGCAGATTCTGTGCTGAGCGTGGAGCCCGATGCAGGGTTTGATCTCACAGCCCTGAGATCATGACCTCAGCCGAAACCAAGAGTCGGATGCTTAGCTGACTGTGCCACCCAGGCGCCCCTAACGTTTTTATCGTTAGTTATTTAGTTTTATAGTACCATGCCCAGTTATCAGTAGCTGTGGGATGGAATTGATGGTACAATTAGGAAGCATGAGGCCCAATCTTTGGGGCTTGGCTCTCATTCCTCTTTATGTTCCAGGTGCCTGTTGTGGGGGACTCTTTTACTTTTGTGTTTATTTGTATGCAAAGAGTTGGCACTGTAGGGGCGCCTGGCTAGCTCAGTTGGTGCAGCGTGTGACTCTTGATCTCAGGGTTGTGATTTCAAGTCCCATGGTGGGTGTAGAGATTACTTAAAAATAAAATCTTTAAAAAAAAAAACCCAAAGAGTTGGCACTCTAGTGGCATGTGGAACCACCTAAACAGTAGTTGACTTGGTATATTTTCCTGTGTTTTCGTGGGGCAGTAGCTTGGAAACTTCTAGAAACCTAGTTCCTTCCCTGTAAGGATTCTGATTTGATAGCTCTAAGTGAAGTCTAGGATTTTTTTTTTTTCTTTTCCTGTGTCTTTAGACAAGCATGCCAGGTGGTGCTGGGAGCTCTCTTATACTACACATTGAGAAACTCAGAGAGGTCAGCATAGACACTGACACACGTGCCTGACCGTATCTTGTACTTGCTGACCGTACAGTGTGGTTGTAACCTCGTGGGTGCAGGGAAGATGTGCTTTCAGTGTTGCCACTTCTTCTCTCCAGGTTGTCACCCCTCAGAAGAGTGGTGGGAAGATGACTGCCTCTCCAGAAAATAAAGGAGAGGAAAAAAAAGTCTCCGGCTCCCTTGTTCGCTGAGAAACTGATATCCCCACGCAGGAGGGCAGCCACATGGGCCCCGTTGCCAAAAGACAGGCATGTCAAGTTCAAGGACCATGAGAAGAGAGATGGGAGCTATGGGGAGGAAGAAGATAAGGCTGAGTTGGGCCAGGATGAGGAAGGTGATGACTCCTCTTCCCGGGACAGCCTCGCCTGCCATCCCACGTCACAGCCAGAGGGGTTCTGTGAAGCTCCCACCCTGCAGAAAGCTGCCTTGGCAATCCCTGGCTGACTTTTCAGGCATGGCCTCGTGGGTGAGGAATCTCAGTGGACCTTTGACCTCTACTGTCCACATGACCAGAATCAGAGTTTTCTATGAATATTATCCAATGATTGTTTCTGCCATGGTGCTCGTGAGCCATGCAGGTTAATTGTCCCCCAAACTCAATTGTCAGTGATTTTCTTTTTGTCTTGACAGAGTCTGTGCAACGTTTTATTTTATTTTATTTTTTTAAAGGCGTTTTTATTTTTATTTTTTTTCAAGATTATTTATTTATTTATTTATTTGACAGAGACAGAGATAGCAAGAGCAGAAACACAAGCAGCGGGAGTGGGAGAGGGAGAGCAAGCTTCCCTCAGAGGAGGGAGCCCGATGTGGGACTCGACCCCAGGACCTGAGCTGAAGGCAGATGCTTAACGACTGAGCCACCCAGGCGCCCTCTGTGCAACATTTTAAATGATACTGTTTCCGAAGAAGTAATTATTAATATTTTTATTTAAATATAATGGCAGTACATTTAAAATTCTTTCAAAATAAGAGGTTAAAGTGGCATTGAATTTTTTCCTTAGGCTGGTGTATTATAGTCAGATTGATGAGCAGTTTCTCTGGAAGAACAATTTGTTATTCTCATTCTTAACAAGTCTCTGTGGCAGTAATTGATTAGGTGGGTTTTCATTTAGATGCTGAAAAAGATGTGTATTCTACATGGGCCAGAGGGAGAACAGTCCTTCCAATGGGGGCCTGGTAGCCCATATCAAGGAACTGGAGCTGTAAGGGAAAGGCAGGGGCTGTGGGATTTCTTTTAGGAACTTGAAGAATGTTCTAATTAATTTATGAATGCTTTGAAAAGTACCCTGACCAGACCTCACGCATACGTTTTGTGAAGAGTAGGCATTACCATAGACGTGATATTTGTGGATAGAGTGAAAGCTTCCAATTTACTCATGAGTGGTACAGACAGATTATTAAAAATATAATAATTTTTATATTTTATATTTACAACTCTGGCTTTTGCCCACAGAGCCTGCCCAAAAAACAGCTGATAAACGGAAGAAGGGGATGGCCAAACAGAAGGCTTCCCGTGAAACCAAAAGACAGAAATTGGAAGGTAACTTCTTTGCTGTGTTTTAAAGCACGAGACAAAACATGGAGAATTTCATATTAACGGAATAGGCATCTATAGGTATGGAATTTGTGGACACAGTAAAAGCCCAAGTGGTAAACAAGGGGATTTTTACTGCAGTTTGGTGTTACAATATGCCAGAATCTTTAGTGGAATTTTCTTTTAGCGTTATTGTTTCTGCACTGTTTGAGTTCTTTTTTTTTTTTTTTTTTTACCTTTTTGTATGGCAGCTGAACCACCTGTAACTTTCAAACTGTTTGTTGGAAACTTGAATTTCGACAAAACTGCTGCTGAACTAAAAACGGGTCTCAGTGAATTTTTTGCTAAAAATGATCTCACAGTTGTTGGTGTCGGAGTTGGCTTGTCCAGGTAAATACCAATAATTTAAGAACATTAAGTTTACCAACCTGGCATTATTATCCCTGGAGAAATTAGGAGTTCCAGTAGCTTTCTATTTTATTGTGGGTTCTGTCTTGTCACATCCTTTTGTTACCTGCTCTATTTTCTTTTTAAGATTTTATTTATTTATTTGACAGAGAGAGAGAGAGAGGCATCACAGGCAGGGGGCATGGGCGGCAGAAGGAGAGGGAGAAGCAGGCTCCCAGCCAAGCAGGGAGCCTGAGGCGGGACTCGATCCCAAGACCCTGGGATCATGACCTGAGCCGAAGGCAGACACTTAACCGACTGAGCCACCCAGGTGCCCCTTGTTACCTGCTCTTGACTCCATGGTGGGGTTTTACCTCAGCCTCTTGCAGTTCACAGTGAGTATAGTAGTCTCATATCCACGGGGATACATTCTAAGACCCCTAGTGGATGCCTGAAGCCACAGATGGTACTGAACCCTACTTATGCTACGTTGTTTCTTTTACATACATAGCAGTGATAAAGTTGAATATAAATTAGCCACCATAATAGATTAACAATAATATAATGAATTAGAACAATTATAACAATATCCTGGAACGAAAGTTACATAAATGTGGTTTCTCTCTCTCAAAATCTCCCTCCTTGTGATGATGTGAGATGATAAAACGCCTCCAGGATGAGATGAAGTGAGGTCCATGCCTTAGGCATTGTGACCTAGCGTTAGAGCACTGTTAGCCTCTTGATGCTATAGGTCAGAAGGAGGATCATCTGCTTCCAGACCACACAGTTGTCTGTGGGTAACTGAAGCCATGGATAAGAGGGACTCATATATATAAAAATCCTTCAGTGGCTCTTAGAAAATCCATTAGATGAAACTCTGCTATCCCATTTTTTCCAATTGGAATGTTAAAATAATCCCGAGATTTTCCTTATTGTTACAGAAACGTATTTTCATGATTTTCCACTGTGAGCAATGTTATTTGCCTAGAATTATTTTAAACCAAGTCACATCTTTAATCACAGCCCCCTAGCTATTGGTGGCAAATACAGGTCCTGTATCACTTCTGCTTTTTTGCCAAGTTGCATTTTATCTTTCTCACTTCTTTTGCATCAGAAGCATATGATGCACATTTTATAGTGGATGTGAGCACATTTTATAATACTCAGACTGTCTTAGGTAGAAACGAAAAGATAATAATATTAGTAAACATTCATTGAGCACTCACTGTTCCAGGCATTATTCTTTGTTCCTTATTTATATGAACTCATGGAATCTGTTAAGACAGCCCTCAGTGGTAATTATTGATATTATCCCCATTTCACAAAGAAGATTTAGGCACAGAGAAGTTAAGTATTGTGCCCAGTATCACACAGTTCAAAGATGGCAGAGCTGGGATTTGAGCCCAGAATCTGGCTCCAGAGTCACGTTGTGCTTATGGGTTGTGTTAACTGTATTTTGTAATATTGTTGCATTTGCAGTAAATAAGAATTCCTTTTGCATTAAAAAATCTTTTTGTAATAGCCCTTGGGTTTGCTAACACATTCCTCATTAGGAGTGATATTTTTGTTCCAGTTCACAAATGCAGATGGCTCTTTCTTAAAACAAAAATTCAAAACCTTACAATTTCAAGCTTCATTTTCTATAGCTTTTGTTTAAATTCAGTCAGTCGCTAAACAGAAAAGTAATAAAGATTTCAATAGGTAAATTTGCACCGACTCAGTCCTTGCTCTAGAACAGCGTTTCTCGATTTTGGCACTATTGACACCTGATATTCTTTGTTGTGGGGACTGTCAAGTGGTTTGCAGGCTATGTAACAGCAGGCCTGGATTCTACCCACCGTGTTCTAGAAGCACCCTCTAGCCCTTCTCAAGCTTGCCTGGGGATGAGAGCCACTCCTCTGGTTACTTTATGGCATTTGTATTGCTAGTTGGTGGAGCCTTGGTTTTAAATTGTAAATGACTGGGGCACCTGGGTGGCTCAGTTGGTTGGGCGACTCAGGTCATGATCCTGGTGTCCCGGGATCGAGTCCTGCATCGGGCTCCCTGCTCGGCGAGGAGCCTGCTTCTCCCTCTAATCCTCCCCCCTCTCATGTACTCTCTCTCTCTTTCTCGCTCTCTCAAATAATCTTTAAAAAATAAATAAATAAATAAAAAGCTCAAAATCCATCAGCAGTCTTTAAAAAAAAAAATTGTAAATGACTCACTGCTGATTTCCACTTTCACATCCAGTATGACTAACCACCCCAAAGTCATGTGCCTTTTGATCTTACCTAGGGTTTTTTTTCCTTTTCTTTTACATCTCTGTAGGAAATTCGGTTATGTGAATTTTAAATCTGCTGATGACCAGGGAAAAGCTTTGGAAACTTAGTGAGACAAAGGTCCTTGGCTATGAAATTAAATTGAGGAAACTGAAAGGAAAGGAAGTAAAGAAAGATATGCAAACAAGGTAATTTGTTTATCGATAACCTGTGTATCTAGACAAACTCTGGGTCAGGACGGAGTCTCGGATTCTTATTCTGTGCAAGTAGTCAGTTACCACCAGGTCACCTCCTTGCCCAGCACAAACTTTGTCTACAGTACTCTCACCCTCTATACTCAAGCTGGATGGCTCACCTTCCCTATCATAATGTTCTTTGTCTACCATACTCTGTCTTTATGTACCTTACCTTCTCGGTCATAATGTTCTCTGCGGGACTCATTCCCCGGCTACCTGCAACCCATCCATAGAATCTCAGCTTAAAGGTCACTTCCTCAAGATCAGAAAAAGTTTCCCTTACTTCCAGACTAGGTTAAGTCTTTTTGGGTGGGGAGGGGTGGTTAGGAGGGACTTTCTTAATTTTTCCTTTTTTTTTTTTCCCCCTGAGAGAGCGAGAGAGTGTGGAGGGGCAGAGGGAGAAGGAGAGGGAGAATCTTTAAGCAGGCTCCACACTGAGTGTGGAGCCCAACATGGAGCTCAGTCCCACAACCCTGAGATCATGACCTGAGCTGAAATCAAGAGTCGGATGCTTAAATCGACTGAGCCACCCAGGTGCCCCTCTTTTTTTTTTTTTTAACTTTATTTATTTTAAGTAATCTCTCCATCCAACATGGGGCTCAAACTCATGACCCTGAGATCAAGAGTCGCATGCTTATCTGTCTGAGCCAGCCAGTCGCCCCTAGGTTAAGTCTTTACTGGGTGTTCTCATTTCCCTTTTTACTTTTCTTTTTTGGCACTTACCAGAGTTTGTAATTATGTGACTTTGCTTACTAGCCTTTTCCCCCAACAAGACCACATTCCTGAGAGTAGACGCCAAGTCTGTATTTTCATGTAGCGTGTAGCACAGGCCCTTGCCCAGATATGTGTTCAAAGATTTGTTAAATGAAGGAATATGTATTGCTATTAACACTCTCCAACTCCTGGAGAAGTATTTTTTCTCCTTTAGAGAACTTTTGATGCTTATTAGATCTGAACTCAGACTAAAAATACTCTTTTGTGTTACACGGATCGGAATGCCAAAACACTTTTGATCAAGAACCTGTCTGACAGAGTCACCCGGGATGAGTTAAAAGAAGTGTTTAAGGATGCCTTTCAAATCAGATTGGTGAGCAAGGATGGGACGAGTAAAAGGTGTGTTTTGTACCTATATTGACAAAGAATATTTTTCTACTGGATTCAGACATAACAGAATTTCATTACATTCTCCTAAATCACTTACACCTGATTTTAGAGAAGGAAAAAGTAGTTATCGAACCTTTCTACCAGCAGGCATAAAAAACTGAAGGGGGCATCATAAATGGACAGCCAGAAGCTTCTAGAAAACTGTAGTGGTATCACTGAGAAATGAAGACTTACTCTATGAAGTTCAAGGTTGAAGATTAGAAGAATTCAGTCATAGGTTATTTCCATTCTTCTCTCTCCAGGGTTGACTCTAGTAAAACAACATGCTTGCTGACTTGCCTGGACAGGTACAAAACAGAGCATTGAATAGGCCCATTAGAACTATGTTGTAACAATGAAACACTAGCACTATGTAGCTAGGCTTTGGTAGAGTAAGAGGGTGAGTGTGGGGGCGCCTGGGTGGCTCAGTTGGTTAAGCGACTGCCTTCGGCTCAGGTCATGATCCTGGAGTCCTGGGATCGAGTCCCACATGGGGCTCCCGGCTCGGCGGGGAGTCTGCCTCTCCCTCTGACCCTCTTCCCTCTCGTGCTCTCTATCTCTCATTCTCTCTCTCTCAAATAAATAAATAAGATCTTTAAAAAAAAAAAGAGGGTGAATGTGGTAAAATTAGAAAGGATGAAATGGGATGTATTTTGGAGGAATTTTCTTTTTTTTTTTTTAAGATTTTATTTTTAAGTAATTTCTACACCCAAACCCACAACCCCGAGATCAAGAGTTACATGCTCCACTGACTGAGCCAGCCACGTGCCCCTATTTTGAAGGAATTCTTAATGAGGTGCAGCTTGCAGATCAGGATTACAGATACATTTGAGTGAAAATTGTTGGTATAGGTGAACTCTAAAATAGTCTATACCTGTATATTCTGAAGAACATAATCTCCAGAAAAGAATCCTGCCAATTCAGAAAACAAGTCTGAAAGGATACATCCCATATTGTCAGCAATTTGCTATTGTCAGTGTTTCTTTCTTTCTTTCTTTCTTTCTTTCTTTCTTTCTTTCTTTCTTTCTTTCTTTCTTTTTTTTTTTTTTTAAGATTTTATTTATTTATTTGGCAGAGAGAGAACAGGAGAGCACAAGCAGTGGGAGTGGCAGAGGGAGAAGGAGAAACAGGCCCCCCATCGAGCAGGGAGCCCGATGCAGGGCTCGATCCCAGGACCCTGGGATCATGACCTGAGCCAAAGGCAGTCGCTCAACCAACTGAGCCACCCGGGCGCCCCTATTGTCAGTGTTTCCTGTGAGGAGATTTGGGGGCTCTCTCCTATGCCTGTAGTCAGCAACACTGGAAAACGACAAAACAAAAAATTGCTGCCAAAAGCCATAGAATTTCTCTATTGTTAGTTAAGTTTTGATTACATAATACTTAAGTCTTTAAATTACTCCTTTACATGAGGTATTATTACAAAGGGGATTAGGAGATGCCAGGGAATTCATGACATGTTAAAGCATAATACCTATGTCAGAAGTGAGTGTGGTGCATTCTTCAAGAATATTCTTACTCGGGGCGCCTGGGTGGCTCAGTTGTTAAGCGTCTGCCTTCGGCTCAGGTCATGATCCCAGAGTCCTGGGATCGAGCCCCGCATCGGGCTCCATGCTCAGCGGGAAGCCTGCTTCTCCCTCTCCCACTCCCCCTGCTTGTGTTCCTTCTCTTGCTGTCTCTCTCTGTCAAATAAATAAATAAAATCTTAAAAAAAATTATTAAAAAAAAAAAGAATATTCTTACTCAACAGATCCTTACTCCATATCTTTGACCAAAGTAAGTTACAGGTCCATGAAGGATTACAATGAAAATATGAAATCATAAAGTACTAGAGGGAGACCTAGAGATTGTTTTGTTTGTTTATTTTTAATAATCTGCAAGAGGGGGAGGCCTGTTAAGTATGACACAAATCCTGGAAGTCCTAAAAGAACAGATAAATTTGACTGCAGAAATATAAAATACATCTACATGGGGAAAAAAAAATCCCATAAGCAAAGTCGAAAAACAAGTGACAAACGAGGGGAAAAAAATTCATGATTTCTATCAAAACTGAGGGCTAATTTGCTGATAGATAAAGTGCATCTCACAAATCAGTAAGAAAAAGACCAACAGGGGCACCTGGGTGGTGCATTTGGTTGAACATCCGACTTTTGGTTTCGGCTCAGGTCGTGATCTTGGGGTTTTGGGATCAAGCCCCACGTTGGGCTCTGAGCTCAGCATGGAGTCTGCTTGAGATTCTCTCTCTCCCTCTGCCCCTCCCTCCCATGTTCTCTTTGTGTCTCTCTCTAAAGTAAATAAGTAAATCTTAAATCCCTGTCAAATAAATAAATAAAAAATCTTTATAATTAAAAAAAAAAGAAAAAGACCAACAACCCAGTGAAAATATTGGCAAATTATGAAAGGAAGGTCACAGAAAAGTAATTTTCTTCTGAACATAAGAAAAGATACTTATCCTCATACTAAAAGAATTGTAAATTAAAATGCAATTTTAATTTAGTTTAGATACAACATTTTACCTTTTAGATGTTAACAGATCAAAAGGTGTATTCCATAGTATTGAAGAGGGTTGGAGAAACTGGCATGCTCAGACGTTGTTTAGAAGGGAAATTCGTGAAGTCTCTGTGAAGATGAGTTAGTATCTATCACTTATAGTTGCATGTACCATTTTATCCTGCAGTTCCACTCCTAAGAATGTATCCCACAGATAGACTCAGACAGGTGTGACATAATGTATTACAAAGTTGGTTGATGCAGAATTAGAATTAACGTGAATATCTATGAATTGAAAACTGGCTAAAATTTTCTGGTAGGTTCAAAAGACATTATACCATGCATTTGTAAAAAGAAGTGAAACAGCACTTTGTGTACCAATGAAAAATAATCTCCAATATAAAGGCAAAATATAGAACAGTGTGTACATAATATTCTACTTTTTATGTAAAAACATAACAGAGGACATACCTGCTCAAAAATTAACTCAAAATAGATCAAAGACCTAAATGTAAGAGCTGAAACAAAACTGGTGAAAACACAGGAGTAAATCATTGTGATCTTAGGTTAGGGTGTTGTGCAGGTGGTAAAAGAGAAGATTGACAAGTGGGCTTTATCAAAATTAAAAACATTTGTACTTCAAAGGACACTACACAAAAAGTAAAAAAAAACAACAACTCTGCAGACTGGGAAAAAATATGGCAAATCATGTATCTGATAAGGGCCTTGGATTCAGAATATGTGAAGAACTCTCACAACTTTTTTTTTTTAAGATTTTATTTATCTATTTGAGAGAGAGAGAATGAGAGATACAGAGCACGAGAGGGAAGAGGGTCAGCGGGAAGAGCAGACTCCCTGCCAAGCACGGAGCCCGATGCGGGACTCGATCCCGGGACTCCAGGATCATGACCTGAGCCGGAGGCAGTTGCTTAACCAACTGAGCCACCCAGGCGCCCAGAACTCTCACAACTTAAGACTACCCAATTAAAAAATGGGCAAAGAGCTTGAATGGACATTGCTCCAAACAAAGTATATGAATGGCCAATAAGACCATGAAAAGATGCTCGACATGAGTTGTTAAGGAAATACAAATCAAAACCATGGTGTGACCTTACTTCCCACCCATCAGAGTGGGTGTAATGAGAAAGGCAGGCAATACCGAGTGTTAGCAAGGCGATGGGGAAATTGGAACCCTCGTTCATTGCCGGTGGGAATGTAAAATAAAAGAGTGCAGTTGCTTGGGAAACCGGTTTTGGCAGTTTCTCAGTGTGTCAAACAGAGTTGCCGTACGGTGCAGCAATTCTGCTACTTGGTGTAAACATAATGAAAACGTATAGCCACACACTTCTACACGTGTGCAGGTTACCTTCATTCATAATAGCCGAAAAGTGGAAACAACCCCAAATGTCCACCAGCTGATGAATGGATAAACAAAATGTGGTATTTCCTACAAGGTGGTATTATCCAGCCATAAAAAGGAATGACGTACTGACACATGCTACAACTTGGATGAATCTGGAAAATGTTAGGCTAAGTGAAAGAAGCCAGACACAAAAGATTGCATATTCATATGATCCAATTTATATGAAATGTCCAGGATAGGCAAGTAGCATGGTAGTTGGGCCAGGGGAATGGGAATGAGTTAGAGGGAATGAGGAGTGACTGCCGATGGTTACTTTGGGAGAGGATAACGTTCTGAAATTAGATCATGGTGATGGTTATAGAAGTCTGTAAACATACTAGAAACCATTATACACTGTTTTTATTTTTTTTAAAGGTTTCATTTTTAAGTAATCTCTGTACCCAGTGTGGGACTCGAACTCACAACCCCGAGATCAAGAGTTGTACACTGCACAGACTGAGCCAGCCAGGTGCCCCTCACTGTACACGTTAAATAGATGCATTTTATGATATGTAAATCGTATCTCAGTCAAGCTTTGAAAAAGAGTGTGTATATGCGTATGTTTGCTTTTTATATGTATGGCATGTTACCTGTAAGGATAGAAATTGGGCAGAAGGCACACTTCACCATATCCTTTTCTACCTTTTGCATTTTGAATCCTGTATGTGTATTACTAATTCAGAAGACAAATAAAAGTACTAAATGTTGACTCTTCTTTCTTCTTTCCCGCACAGTTGTAGGATTGCGTATATCGACTTCAAGTCACAGGCTGGTGCAGAGAGAGCCTTGGACGAGAAGCAAGGAACGAAGATCGGTGGGCTTGCTATAGTTCTGGGCCATGCTGAAGAGAAAAGCCAAGGCCAAGAAGGGAGAGACGAGAAACCCAGCACATGGAGAAGTAAGGGATGCTACAGCTCTGTAGACTTGAGACTTGCCAGGGTTGTCAGCAGGGTTCCCCAGAGAGGGGCTAGCAGGAGGATGGGGAAACTTCCCTACAATGTCTCCCTGTATCAGAAATGTGTAAGTCATTCTCCTATCAAGCAAATGAGTAGTGTCCTAGTTAACTATAACCATGAAGTCTGCAAAAACATGGCACTTTGAGATCCATCAGCTTAGCTCCCCTTCTTGGGTACCTTCTAGGATTCTGTTTGGACAGGCTCTTAAACCTGTGGTTTCCGAATTCGATATTTAATTCTCTTCAAGTAGAGTTTTTGTCTGGTTTAAACCAGAGGCCCCAAACCAGTGTCCCTAAGCTGCCTAATCTGATGGGTAGACGTCATGGCTTATCTAGTATCTACAGGAAAAAAACCCCACAATTTATTATGAATATTTTTAAGAATCAAGGAGTTTCACATAGAAATCTGGATTTCCAGCTTCTTTTGTTGCGGCCTCAGAGAATCAGTGCCCGGGGCTGTGTTCCTGCGTGTCTGCAGTCACCTGCACAGGAGAATCAGAGGTGTCTTCTCAGCTGTTCCCTCAACAGCCCCCGCGATTTGCTCAGTTCTCTCCTACTTTGAAGGAGTGAACAGCACACTTACACTTTGGAAAAATAGAGTCACTACGTTTCTCTTGCAAAGTAGTACTTTTCTAACCGTAAAGGTGACATTTTAATATTTCTTATGGGTTTGTGTCTTTCAAAAGTGGGAAAACGAAAGTTAGAACAAGAAAGCCACACGTTTCAAGAAAAATGGGAGTGAGCTTATTTCTTTGTGCAGGTCAAGAACGTTCCTACATGTTTAATATGCAAACAAAGTGTGTCTGTGTCGAAGGACTTGGACCTCGGACGCCATTATAAAACAGACCGAAAAGATGCGTGATAAAAAACTTAACGAGCTGAAAAAAAAGAATGAACTTTCAACAGGACTTACTTTTGAATGTGAATAAAATAAATGACGCTGCTGTGAAATGCAGTTATATGTTAAGTCGGAAAATTGCCCGGGCATCGAAACCTTTTACAGACGGCGAGTTTGCAAAGGAATGTCTGTTGAGTGCAGCGGAGATTATGTGCCCCTAACAGAGACAAGCATTTGCCAATCTGAGACTAAGTGGTAATACTGTTTCACAGTGTGTTGACTACAGGGCAGTGAATTTACAGGACAAGCTGCAAGAGAAAGCTAAATCATTTGTGGCTTTCTCCATTGCGGCTCATGAGGCGGCCGATGGAGCTAATGCCCCCCAGTTGGCTGTATTTATTCGTGGTGTTGATGGCACTTTCGATGTGACGGAAGAACTTTTGGACATGGTTCTCATGACAGGCGCCACGTCAGGAAATGACTTACTTGTCTGTGTTGAGGAAAGTCTTAAAAAATTTAACGTAGACTGGTCATAGTTAGTAAGTGTTAACACAGATGGCAATTCGGCACTGGTTGGTGTTGAACAGCTTGTTACAAAACTTAAATCTAAAGTGTCAGGGCTTTGCAAAGACATGGAACTGAAGTCCATGCATGGCCTCATTCTCTAGGAATCATTTTGTGCTAAAAAGTTAAAAATGGATCATGTCATAGACATAGTGATTCACAGCATAACCCGGATCCGGTCCCATGGCTCAGACCACAGAAAGTTCAGTGCTTTGTTCAGCGAGTTAGATGCACAGTATGGAAGCCTGTCTTGCTCCATGGGACGCAAGTGGCTGAGTCGTGGCATGGTGCTCAGGCGGTTTTTTGAACTGTTGGAAGAAATTGATTTTTTTCATGTCTTCTAAAGGAAAATCGGTTCCTCAGCTTACTAGCAAAGATTGGGTCAAAGAGTTAGCCTTTTTGGTTGACATTATGACCTACCTAAACACGTTGGATATTCCTCTGCAAAGGCGCTCACGAGTGGTTACACAGATGTACGATTCAATTTGCTCCTTCCTAACGAAACTGTGTCTTTGGGAAACTCATTAGGCAAGGAACAATCTGGCCCACTTCCCTGAGCTGAAATTAGTTTCTGAAAATGAAAGAGATGGCCAGAACTATATTTCCCGAATTAAAGAGTTGAAGACTGAATTCCAAAAACAGTTCTCTGATTTCCAATTTTATGAAAACAAGCTGACGTTTGTTTCAGAGTCCACCTTTCTCGATCACCATTAGTAACGTGAGCGAAGAGCTACAAATGGAAGTTCTTGAATTGCAGGGCAACACCCTACTGAAAATGAAATATGATGGTGTCGGGATCCCAGAATTCTACAAGTATCTTGGGAGAAGTTACCCTAAATATAAAAACCACTGTGCAAAGATTCTGTCCATGTTTGGAAATACCTACGTTTGTGAGCAGCTCTTTTCTGTCATGAAACAACATAAAACTAAATATTGCTCCCAGTTAAAGGACCCGGAGATGAATTCTCTGCTGCAGGTTGCTGCACAAGATTCCCAGCCTTGACCTTGGGGCTTAAGAAGGGAATGTCAGGTGTCAGATTTCAAATCTAAGGAGAAAGAAATTATGAGACTTTAAATAATTATTCTACTTCCAAATTATATTTGTTCAACGTCAAATTTAAGGTACAATCTCTGGCATCCTATGTTTGTATTTATCACATATGAAATGAAGTTTGATTATACCTTGGCAGTTTATTTTTCCTGTATTTGGCCTTTCTGGCCCTTAGGGTGATTCGAGTTGATAAACCTCTGCCCTAAAAGCAGCCACATTTTTCCTAAAGGCACTCATGAGCCGGGGATGTGAACCAGGGAGTGAGGGGAATGGGTGGGATGTTTAGATGTCTAGCACAGCTCTGTCCCCAAGGATGACAGACCTGCCGCTCTGATCTTGAGACTCAGGCCAGTTTAACCATCCCCCCACCCCCCACCCCCAACAGAGCGGGGACAGCATAACCAATACTCACCTCTGGGTTTCTTTGGTGTTTCCGTTTTGGATTTACACCTTTCTTTGAAATTTCAACGTTGGTTAGCGTTAGAATAAATTGTGGCTGGCCCCAAAGCCATTCTGCCTCCTGTAGGCAGGGATGGGCATTTTCTTGGCATCCGGGCCACCCCAGGGGGATGCAGAATGAGGCCCATAGCTACCATCAGGGTTTTAAAGAGCTCTGTGACCCAAAAGGTGTTTTTCCACTGTGGAACTGGGACAGGACTCTCACTGTTACAGAAACTGTTATCTTGAAAAATCAGTCCAATTATAAAAGTGATACATACTTATTGTAGAACATTTGGAAACTATTAAGAAATAGAGGGGAAAATCTATAATCTCAACAACCAGAGGTTACCCCTGTAAATATTTAGGTATGTTTGTTTCTTTCAATTTCCTCTGTGTTATTTTATATGGCTGAGTGCATTAAGTCTGGATCGTTCTGTAATCTGCTCCCCCCTCCCCTCCTCCCTCACTTAACAGTGAAATCCTGGGGCGCCTGGCTGGCACAGTCAGTCGAGGATGCAGCTCTTCATCTCGGAGGCTGTAAGTTCGAGCCCCATGTTCGGGGTAGAGATTACTTAAGAAATAAAAAAATAAAATCTTAAAAACAAATCAGGGAAATCCTAAATATCTGTCAGTCTTCCAAGCTCAAGTTGAGTTTATTTGCTTGCATCAGGTATGTACTGATAGGCCTTTGCCAACCAGGGTGAGTTCTCTTGGCATCAGATAAGCCACAAGTGATTTCCAGGTGTGGGATCCCCTTTCTGTTCTGCCAGGTTCTGAGAAGGCCAGAGAAAAACCCTGCTGTCCAGGGAAGGAGAGGCAGAGTGCATCTGACGACACTCAGGACAGCCTTTTTGGGCAGAGGTTCTGGGACCATTAATGAGTGTGAAGAAGGCCCGCTTTTAGATCTGACCTTAATCTCTGCAGCATTTGATGCCACTGCCCACCTCTTCCCTCCCCTTGAAATCTCATTCCCATTTTTTCCTTCCTCTCTGAATGCTTCTTTTCAGGCCCTCTCCTTCTCCTTGAATGTTGATTTTCCTCCAGTGACTTTTTCTCCCTATAACTTACCTGCTCAGTGGGGAGCGCGATGCGGGGCTCCATCCTTAGGACCCTGCGGTCATGCCTGAGCCGAAGGCAGACACTTAACCGGCTGAGCCACCCAGGTGCCCCTACCAGTGACTTTTAACCTTCTTGAGGGGAAGAGGGGAGGTCAGTCAGGGCTCTCTTAAAGCAGCGGTTAAAAGATACCAACCTTCTTCCAAGAATTACGCACATGTGTACCTACACCTGTGTTTTTTTACGCTTTCGGGAAGTCCCCTTGGAACCATCTAGTCCCATGACTTGATTATATGCAGGGCTTCCGTTGTCGGATCTCCAACCCCACTCTTCCTCCTTCTTCTTCCTCTTTTTTTTTAAGTTTATTTATTTGACAGAAGAGAGAGTAAGCAGGCAGGAGGGGCAGAGGGGGGAGAGAATTTCAAGCAGACTCCATGCTGAGTGCAGAACCTGACGCAGGGCTCGATCTCACAACCCCAAGATCATGACCTGAGCTGAAACCAAGAGTCAGCTGCTCAACCGGCTGAGCCACCCAGGTGCCCCAGCTCTTCCTTCTAAACGCCAGCCTGGAAGCTGCTGGACCTCTCCATTGGGATGTCCCACAGGCCACTTCAATGTATGGTGTTGACGATTGAATTCATCATTTGTCTCCCCAACTCCTAAACCAATTCTCCCCTGGTTTTCTAATTTTCTTTATTTTAGTGAATGGTACCATCATGTACCCGGTTCTGTCTCAAGCCAGAACCCTGGCAGCCATCTTGGACTCCTCCTTCTTACTCATTTCCCATTTCTATTTAGTGGCAAAATCTTGTTGATTATACTACTTAGCTATAGGTTTCAAATCTTCCCACTTCTCTGCAATCCCATTTGGAGTGAACCCTCCGCTAGCTGGGACCACCATCATCTCTTGCTTGAACTTCTACAAAAACCCCAAAATGGTCTCCCTGCTTCTAGTGTCTCCGTCTACAACTCTGCCTTCAAAGCATTCTCCAGCCAACAGAGTGACCAAAAAATAGGGCAAAAGAAAAAACCCAAATTAGGTCACATTACTCCCCTGCTTAACATTCTTAGCTACTTCATCATTTATAATAAAACCCCAACTCCTCTAACTCAGCAGCGAAAAACCAAACAACCCAATTTAAAAATGGGCAAAGGACTTGGATAGACATTTCTCCAAAGATGGTACCAATACAAAATAAGCACATGAAAAGATGCTCAGTATCACTGATCAGTAGGGATATGCAAATGAGATACCTCCTCAGACTCATTAGGTGGCTGCTAACACAAAACAAACAGAAGACAAGTGTTGGACAGGCTGTGGGGAAATTGGAACCCTTGTGCCCTGTTGGTGGGACTATAAAATAGTACAGCCACAGAGGAGAACAGTAGTATGGTGATTCCTCAAAACCTAAAAATAGAATTACCGTACGATCCAGCAATTCCTCCTCTGGGTATATACCCAGAAAAATTGAAATCAGGGTCTTGAAGAGAGATTTGTATACCCTTGTTCACAATAGCTAAAACATGGACACAACCCAAGGGTCTCTCAGTGGATGAATGGATAAGCAACATGTGGTATATACATACAATGGAGTATTATTCAGCCTTAAAAAAGACAATTCTGACACATGCTACAACATGGATGAACCTTGAGAACATCATGCTAACTGAAATAAGCCAGTCACAAAACAAACAAATACAGGATGGTTCCATTTATATGAGATACTTAGCATCGTCAGAATCGTAGAAACAGAAAGTAGAATGGTGGTTGCCAGGTGTGTGGGAGGGGATATGGGAACTTCATGTGTGATGGGTATGGAGTTTTAGCTTTACAAGATGAAAAGAGTTCTGGAGATGGATGGTGGTAGTGGTTGCCCACTGTTATGAATGTATTTCATACCATTGAACTGTACCCTTAAAAATAATCAAGATGGTCAAGGTTATGTGTAGTTTACCCAGTTATGAAACAAACAAACAAACAAACAAAACCCCCAAACTCCTCACCTACCATGGGACTACAAAGCCATATGTAATGGAGAGGTCTCTTGTCTCCCTGATCTCTTACCTACTTTACTCTTCACTGTATACCTGACACTTGCCTTCTTTCTGTGCCTTGAGTCCTTGGACAGAGCTGTTTCTGGAATATTCCTCTCCAAGTCTTCTGACCACCCAGGTCAGAGCTTCAGTGTTGCCTCCTCAGAGAAGCCTCTCCTGGCCCACCTTAGAGTGACCACCTCCCCAGTCAACCCTTCTCTCTCCTCTTTTGTTTCCACTTATGAGCTATCCTTACCCCAAAACACTGTATCCTTCTCAGGGTATCATATCGGGGGGCATGCGATGTCCGTTTGGCCCATTCCTGGCGATGTAACTTTGATCATTTGCAAACCAGCTTCAGCAAACCAGCTTAAGATGGTTTCTGTCAGGTTCTTTCACTGTAATATTACTTGTTCATAAGTTCTCTCATGGAGAGAGACCAAGAGACTGTCTTAAGTCTCCTGTTCCTCATCCTAATTTTCCCTAGTAATTTTAGCATCTATTGCTGATTTTTTCCTGAAACAATTATTACTGGGTATCTGCCAAATGGCAGTTTTCAGTTTTCCTCATTCTACATTGATTGGTTGGAATTCTTTTTTTTTTTTTTTAAGATTTTATTTATTTATCTGACAGAGAGAGACACAGCGAGAGAGGGAACACGAGCAGGGGGATTGGGAGACGGAGATGCAGCCTCCCCGCCGAGCAGGGAGCCCGATGCGGGGCTCGATCCCAGGACCTCGGGATCATGACCTGAGCCGCAGGCAGACGCTTAACCGACTGAGCCACCCAGGCATCCCGATTGGTTGGAATTCTGTGGGGAAGACTTTTCCCTTCACCCTTTTTTTCTTCTTCATTCATTCAAGTATTTATATCCGTGTGGACTCACAGATTCTTGTTTTATTCTATAGCTGCTGCTTCTGTTGATTATAATCCATTATGAACATTATTTATTTTGTCTGTCAGGTTGTCCCAGATTTGGCATGGGAGCCCATTCAAGTTTGCCTCTTGTGTCCACTGACATGGGTCCACATGTCCCCGTTAGGATTTGAACCCTTCCTTACCATCTAGCACCACAAGATGTGGAAGGCTCATCTTGTAACTTCCTTGCCACAGCCCTGAAGATCTGGCTATTCTCCAAGAAGCCTTGGTGCTTTTCATTGCAGAATGGCCTAAGACACCAAGACCTGGGTGCTGGGTGAGGTCATTGGTGTTGGGCGTTAGGACTTTCAGACCCTCTCAGTGGACAGTCAGGAAATGTACATACATGCACATGGATACCTACCAAAAGCTGTTTGGACATATTTGTATTTCAGAAACCATGAGTTCACAATGATACCTGTACTTCCAGTCCAAGACCACACTGTTTATTCTAGCTGACCCCTTTCTGTAATTATAACTGATTTTTCTGAGAGTGAGAAATCTGGCTTTAATCCCAGTATATTTATTTACCTTTTTAATGCTAGAATACGCGTATTGTCTGAATTTATTTTTTTAAAGATTTTATTTTATTTTTTCAAGATTTTATTTATCTATTAGAGAGAGTACACACGAGAGAGATTGGGGGAGGTGTAGAAGGGAGGGAGAGGCACAAGCAGAGCTCAGAGTGCAGAGCCCGAGGGGGCTCCATCCCAGGACCCTGAGATCATGACTGGAGCCAAAATCAAGAGTCATATGCTTAACCCACTGAGCCACCCAGATGCCGCTAAGAGATTTTATTTTTAAGTAATCTCTATACCCGACGTGGGGCTCGAACTTATAACCCCAAGATCAAGAATTGCATGCTCTCCCTACTGAGCCAGCTGGGCACCCCAGTATTTTTTGAATTTCTAACACACACTTCTCTGAAAAATAAACCTACTACTTAGAGTACAATATTGTACAGTTTTTCTCCCTTATTCTTTTTTTTTCAAGATTTATGTATTTATTTGAGAGAGCGAGAATGAGAGAGAGAGAGTACATGAGAGGAGGGAGGGTTAGAGGGAGAAGCAGGCTCCTCGCTGAGCAGGGAGCCCGATGCGGGACTTGATCCGGGGACTCCAGGATCATGGCCTGAGCTGAAGGCAGTCGCTTAACCAACTGAGCCACCCAGGCACCCTCTCCTTTAGTCTTAGAGTGTATGGTCAAAATACTCTTTTCTAAAGTTGCTTAGGTGAGTGCTCCCAGTGTGTCCTCGGGTTATTATTCATTTGTAGTACACTTAGCGTCATTTGTTCCTGTTTATATTCCTCGCCGGGTCATCTCCACTCCCCCTCTTCCCCAATTCCTTGTGGATTAAAAAATGTGTTCAGAAGCATGAAACACAGTCATGATTCTAAAAGTCAGAACTATACAGCTGTGTCCAGAGAAGTGTGGTTTCCCCACGCCTTCCGTTCTCTG